ACTAATTTGTTGACCCCATATTAACTAGGTCCCCCAGTAGTGCCCTTGTCAAGCCCTTTTTGGGGGAGGGTTCCCCTATAGACTACAGAAAAAAGGGTGCCCCTGCTCTCTACTGGAGGACCTAGTTAACAACCCCCAGTTTATTTTAATAGGGGGGTGCTCTTTTTGCTGTGGGCTTAGTGGGGAAGCATCACTTTTGGAGGGGTTTGCACGACGTCCAACCGTGGAAGCTGACAACAAAGTGTGGGAAGACTACTTTGTTTCTTGGGGAACCTCCCTGTCCAGTTCCAGGAACGGTGGAAAGCGGGTACCCTCTTTCACAATGCTACTTCTGTTAAAGGGGTTCCGTTTGAGAGCAGAAACAGAGTCGTTATATTGTCCCCAATTGGAATGCTTTAGATTCAAGCAGAAAGTATCCCATGCTGGTTTATCGTGGTTTTTGGACCTCCGAATCCAACCAAAGGGGATTCCCATTCCTTGTTTCTCTGGGTGTGGGTTTCGCTGATGGGAGCCACCGAGGAGCAGTTGGACGCCTGGCTACAGCGCAGCTGCGAGCTCTCCAAGTGGCGGCTCCAAAGGAGCCCTTCCGCGCTCGCTCGTCGAGGGCTGGACGTGCGACGGTTTTTGGAGGGCACCCAACGGAACGAGCACCTTGGAGGGTCCCCTATTTTCACGCCCAAGTAGATGTCAGTTGGTTGTTTCAACGCCTTTCCGGCCAACTCTATTTCAGTCGTACCCAGTTTGAGTTGGCAAACTTTAAGATGTTTTTTGGTTGGTGTCTTCATCTTTCCTGGTCAGTCAACTCAGGTCAGTCCCTGGCTGAGCGAGTTTGAAACATTCTCGTTTGGGAAAGGCCGTGTTGATTGGATTGCTCGTCGGAGCGGTGATGTGGAGCAAGGCAGAAACCGTGTCGGGTTGGGTGGGGGGGGGGGGCGGGGGATGTTCTTTTTTAGATCCCAGTTGCCTGCAGCATAGAATACCACCTTGCTTGAAAGAACACGTTTGGGAGAGTTTCCTCGAGGCGGTGAGGTTTAAGAGGGGACATAATCGGCTGTCAATCAGCGGGTTTGAATGTTGGTTCCCCTTTTCAACCAAGGGGTCCAAACGCCCCCCCGATAAAACAGCAACAACCACATGGGGGATTACCCGTTGGGCACAAAACAAGTGGAGCCCAAGCCTTCGCAAAACTTGGCCATTCATAGCACCGAGACGTCGGCATTGAAGGCAGCCGCCTTCGCAAGACTTGGCCAGACATCAGGCCTTGGGTGGAGCAGCTGAGAGCGGGCTGCATCCTCGCCAGGCCTTTCGAATTTCGGGGCGGCCAGGGTTTGTGGGAATAGGTTTGCACCAATGGTCCCTGCTTTGGTGTTGGCTCATGGCTCTCAAGTAATTTGGTAATTCTTACAGAGGCAAAACAATAATGATAATAATGCTTATCATAATAATACATTATCATGAAGATAATAATACTAATAATGACAATAGGGAGTCTTATGTTTTGTAGAATTCCCTATCCACCGGTTTCAAGATAAACACACATGTTGGCAACTGGCAAGGGGCAAGGAGCTTTGGTTGCCACCTGAAGGCTTCGGCGAAAGACGTTTGGTTCCGGGCCAGTCTCGAGCCTCGAGGCTTCTGGAAGGGCACCCCCGAACTGTGACTCCCCAATTCGCAAATTCCTTCGACAAATGGGAGGCCGGCGCCCCCCCCCCCCACCAAAAAAAAAAAAAGAACAAGAAAAAGACAACGAAAGCGATTACGTGAAGCGCCATCCAAAGGGAAGGGGGGGGGGGGTATTTTGGGAAACTCGTTGGTTGGTTGGTTGGTTGGATCCCTCGGGCTTAATGCCGAGCGCGCATGATATTTCAAGCGGATGCGAAGGGGCAGCTTCAGTTGGAGAGCTTCAAATAGATAATTCGGAAACATGATGTGGTGTTACCTTTTGGAGGTCATCGCATTTCAAAGACACTTTTGAATCATCTTTCCAGTTGCGAATTGAGGGTGTGATAAATCCACGCTACACTCTGGTCTGCTTGGGTTGTTTGTAATTGTAGCCATGAGGGCTGTTCAAAAAGCGTCGATGCATTGTCTTTGTTGGACTTATTTGTGACCTGCCATTACAAGGAGCAGTCAAGCGCTTTACGAAAAGCACAGATCGGGTTCTCATGTTGAACAACCCTTACACGACTCTGACATTGCATCTCCCTTAGAAAAGTCTTGACAAGACTCTGGGCAGCTGCCATGCGAAGGCGTGCTTGGGGCTTGAGATTTATCCAGTCCTTTCAGTGGACCCTTTTCAATTGTCGCAGAAGAGACAGAAGTAAAGACCCTATCCCTGATATGCATAGCAAGATGCCCAGAGATGTCATGCGGTGTGTTCATTCATTTCGTTTGTGTAATATGTCACGGACTTGCCATTATTCCCTCATGGCTTGGCACCGAAGTTGCGTCCCGCAACATGGAAGACATTGTTCGTATCATATTTTTTCCGCACCAGGCA